ATATTACACTGAGTTTTAAAGGATAAGAGGGTCAAGGGCATCACATGCAGTGCAGTCACATAAAATGCAAATCTTCTTATCACCATCACAGTTTGGGTTTGAATTGAAAGAACTACAACGTTTGCTCTATTTCCCTTTAGTTATGATTCACAGATATTCAGAGATACAGATATGTAGATCGATCGTGAGAATAATTTAGAATGCCCAGATGTACCTTGCAGTTCTCTGCCTGGCTCTTTCGATTTATGAAAATGAATTCATGCAGTGACTTAGAGCCTCCTCAAATGTACCCGTGGTTAATCCACTGTAAATCACACCGACTTCACGGCTTTGTTTAGGTGAGAATGCAGAAGACGGGGAGACGTCTTACAAGACGTGTCCCCGGGGCACATCCATAAACATCTCTTCTACCTGTCTGTGAATAGGTCTGAAAGGGGAACTTGCTTTATAAGTTATAATAAATCTCAGGTAACCATTGATGGTTGCCTCTCGTACATGACAGGGATAAAAAATAATAATTTGGAATAGCTCTGCAGCCTTTGCTGTCATTGAAACTGGAGATGTACAATGCAAAACACCAAAGGATTTGATATAGTACACGTTTAAAATACTGTGGATCAGACTTCTAGTCAATGGCTTTGACTATTTCAGACACACGCGATGGTGGCAGGTGTATTAACCAATGGAATGCACAGTCATACATGCGCCATAAACAAGTATCACCAGCAGAACCAGCCATACCACAGCTCTCAGTAATAAGAGGCGTCCATACTGACATGTCTGTCTGTGTAAAGACTGGCACCGACTGGGTCAGATACCGAAACACAGGAATAGGGTCAGAGACGGTCCATTACGGCTCCTAACGTGTAGCTGGATTTAATGGAATAGTAGACATCTCATAACAGGCTGTAAGTAGGAAACCGAAAACAAATAACATAAATCAGAACAGCAACAATAAACAGTTAAACCATAATGTTGGTATGGGCAGCAGAAAGTTTCACCAGAACTAACCACGGTCAGGAGGACACGATGCATCATTACCAATCACACCAGAAACATTGAAAGGGGGCTCCATTTATAATCTACTAAAGAGTACGATGGGGAATGATTCATGGTTCAACCTGGGTTTTTATGCTCTGGGTTAGGTTAGACTTAATGGGGTAAACTCAAGAGCACTTCAGAGAGAGCCATCTTTATCAGTAACCTGTTTTCAAACTCATGGTTCCATAGGGCATTTAGCAGGGAACTGAAAATGTGCATTTAAAAAAATATATTTAGCGTTTGTTATTGTCACCAAGAGGGACTTTGTGAAACCCCTCTGACCACGTAGAAAGGAGTAATGTATTATGATCAGGGCACCCTCTACTCTCCAGCTATTACTGGGTAAGAACCTGGCAGACCTTTAATTGCTGACAACAGACAGTATAGACATGTTAACATATCGACATATTAAAGGACCACTATAGTGCCAGGAAAACATACTAGTTTTCCTGGCACTATAGTGCCCTGAGGGCCCCCTCCTGCCAGGCTGTATGGAGAGGAAGGGGTTAAACACTCACCTTTCTCCGCGCTGGGCGGGGAGCTCTCCTCCTCCTCTCCGCTTCCGATCCTCCTCTTCAGCTGAATGCGCATGCGCGGCAGGAGCTGCGTGCGCATTCAGCCAGTCTCATAGGAAAGCATTCACAATGCTTTCCTATGTACGCTGGCGTCTTCTCACTGTGAAAATCACAGTGAGAAGCACGCAAGCGCCTCTAGCGGCTGTCAATGAGACAGCCACTAGAGGCTGGATTAACCCTAACATAAACATAGACAAAAGGGTTAACCCTAGCTGGACCTGGCACCCAGACCACTTCATTAAGCTGAAGTGGTCTGGGTGCCTATAGTGGTCCTTTAACAATACACAGTCTAGTATAGACATGTAAACATATCGACATTAACAATATGCAGTCTAGTATAGACATGTAAACATATCGACATTAACAATATGCAGTCTAGTATAGACATGTTAACATATCGACATATTAACAATACACAGTTTAGTATTGACATGTAAACATATCGACATATTAACAATATCGACATATTAACAATACACAGTCTAGTATTGACATGTTAACATATCGATATATTAACAATACACAGTCTAGTATTGACATGTTAACATATCGACATATTAACAATACACAGTCTAGTATTGACATGTTAACATATCGACATATTAACAATACACAGTCTAGTATTGACATGTTAACATATCGACATATTAACAATACACAGTTTAGTATTGACATGTTAACATATCGACATATTAAAAATACACAGTCTAGTATTGACATGTTAACATATCAACATATTAACAATACACAGTCTAGTATTGACATGTTAACATATTGACATATTAACAATACACAGTCTAGTATAGACATGTTTATGAAAGGGCGTTTTAATATGTTTTTATTTCTTTAAGTTCCAATAAGCCAAGTTACACAAACTGAAACCTTTATTCCATAAACCATTATATAAACAGGGGTGAAATGGGAACTGACCTGTTCTATCTAAATCTCAATGTATAATTCCAATTGGAGATAACCGAGAGAGACCTCAAGCTATGACTAACAGATGGCCCCAGAAGCTTTAAACAGTGGTAACTTTATTTGGTAACCAGGGTCCTGGAGAAGGATAGAAGGAGACGCTCTTGCTCTTGGTTAGATCTCTGGCATGCTGGGATTTCTGGGAGTCAATTTTTTAGCTGTAGAGTCTGTGGATATCTGTCCCTGAACTTATATTCTACCTCTCCTGGCTCCCATAGTAACCATCGTTAAGGCTTCACAAGACCTTTCCATAAGCTCTTCCACCGCAGACAGTTAAGTGTTACCTTCATTTGACTTTGGTAAATAAAGCGTTCTTTCGCTTGTTTTTCTGTGTTTCTTTATTATCAAGTGAACTATTTAGGAGAAGAAAATGATTAACAAATCTGAAAACAGCCTGGAGACACCAGACTGGTTTTAACATTGCATACTAAAAAAACTCCACGGAGAGGTGAGAAATTCGACATAAAGTTAGATAAAACCGAATAACACTTACATTTTCCGCTCGCGTTGATGAAGCATGCATAACATTTCAGACGTTTTATCTGCGGCTGATTGGTTGCATTTGGAGAAGAATAGTTTCAGCATTGTTCAGTTTTCGGAAAGGTAGCATTTCTAAGAGATAAACGTAACAGACAAAACAAACAAACAAACAAACATTGGTTTCAAGGAACCAGCTTTGCTTTGGAAGTGAAGTCTGAAATCTCCAAATTTAGGGTTTTTTAACGGGATCTCATTCAAGCTATCCAGGTGGTTGGATATATATGTAGGATGTTCAAGGAATTTGTTGTTAATTTTAGTCGTAATTTTCTGGTGAAATCTTTACCACTGAACTTAATGGGAGTCTTCATCATGTGTTTAGTTATCATCCCTGAATTGTCCATCTCAGTACTCTTTATAAGTGTAAAAGGTATTTAAATATACAAGTGAGGGCGCCACTATCACAAATATGTGGACTATAATTACCACTCAGTCAGCAGAGATGACATGTAAGAAGAAATATGAAATATAAAAATACATAGTGAAGTATTTAATGGTTAAAATAGACATATATAACAAAAGACTCAAACTTGCAAGGAAAATGGCACAAAAACATTTATTGTTTCTGTGGGATTTGGGAGTGATCCCTTTATAGAGTGGCCTGCCTGCACTGTTTTCTGCATTTTACCCACTCACTTTTTGCTCTTTATAAGTGTGCCTTATGGTTCTCCAATGCCCGACTGGTAAATTCCCAGATAACTATCAGTAGAAAGAGGGAAGTGCTCATGCCACTGTACAGAACACTGGTGAGACCTCACTTGGAGTATTGTACACAGTACTGGAGACCGTATCTTCAGAAGGATATTGATACCTTAGAGAGGGTTCAGAGAAGGGCTACTAAACTGGTTCATGGATGGCGGGATAAAACTTACCAGGAAAGGTTAAAGGATCTTAACATGTATAGCTTGGAGGAAAGACGAGACGGGGGATATGATAGAAACATTTAAATACATAAAGGGAATCAACACAGTAAAGGAGGAGACTATATTTAAAAGAAGAAAAACTACCACAACAAGAGGACATAGTCTTATATTAGAGGGACAAAGGTTTCAAAATAATATCAGGAAGTATTACTTTACTGAGAGTGTAGTGGATGCATGGAATAGCCTTCCAGCTGAAGTGGTAGAGGTTAACACAGTAAAGGAGTTTAAGCATGCGTGGGATAGGCATAAGGCTATCCTAACTATAAGATAAGGCCAGGGACTAATGAAAGTATTTAGAAAATTGGGCAGACTAGATGGGCCGAATGGTTCTTATCTGCCGTCACATTCTATGTTTCTATGTTTCTATAACGTGTTTTAAAGCAGACTCCCATATTTGCGTTAGATTTGTATTTCCAGACCTATCTGGGCTGCTTTAGTCCTCCAATATTTAATGGATTCACTTCTTTGTAGGCTCATCTAGAACATCAGAAAATAGTGATCCAATATTTTGCTTAAAGTGGTTGTAGTCAGGGCCAGATTAACATAGGAGCTGATGGAGCTGCAGCTCCAGGCTCAGGCCCATGGAATAGGCCTATTGATTTTTTCCCAGAAAAAAAAAATTCCACTTTTTTTACACACTACTCCTAGGGTTGCCACCTGGGTGGTATTTATTTGAGGCTGCCTGGCCATGCCGATATTGTAGTATTATCGGCAATACAAATGCCAGTATTTATCTCAGTATAAACAGAGATTACTCTGCAATACCAGCACTGGCCATTAGGGGCCGCTGTGTGTGTGGAGACAGGCTGGGATAGGAAGTTACAGCATGTACCTGATTCTCTTTACTCACTGATCCGTGGGGGAGCATCTACACAGCACAGAGAGTCCAGACAGCAGCTTCCAGCCTGCAGAGACAGCCTCTAGCTCAGGGAAGTGAGGGATGGGGGGCAAGGCTGCAGGGAGACATGGGGACACTGAGACACTAGGGGACACTGTGAGACATGGGGACACAGGGAGACCTCTGGGGATGCTGAGACACTTGGGGACACTTGGAGACATGGGGACACAAACACATGGGGACACTGAGACACTAGGGGACACTGTGAGACATGGGGACACAGGGAGACATGGAGACACAGACACACATGGGAAAACTTGGTGACACTGAGACATGGGAACACTGAGACACTAGGGGATGCTGGGAGACATGGGGATACAAATACTTGGGGACACAGATACACATGGGACACTGAGCCATGGGGAAACAGACACACATGGGGACACTGAGACATGGGGACAGTGAGACACTTGGGGACACTGGGAGACATAGGGACACTGAGACACTGAGACATGTTTCCCTGCCAGTGTCCCTGGTGTCTCAGTGTCCCCATGTCTCCCAGGGTCCCTAGTGTCTCAGTGTTCCCATGTCTCCCAGTGTCCCAAGTGTCTGTGTGCCCATGTCTCCCAGTGTCACTAGTGTTTCAGTGTCCCCATGTCTCCCTGCCAGTGTCCCTGGTTTCTCAGTGTCCCCATGTCTCCCAGTGTCCTAGTGTCTCAGTGTTCCCATGTCTCCCAGTGTCCCTAGTGTCTATGTGCCCATGTCTCCCAGTGTCCCTAGTGTTTCAGTGTCCCCATGTCTCCCAGTGTCCCTAGTGTCTTGGTGTCCCCATTTCTCCCAGTGTCCCTAGTGTCTATGTGCCCATTTCTCCCAGTGTCCCTAGTGTCTCAGTGTCCCCATGTCTCCCAGTGTCCACAGGTCTCCCAGTGTCTGTGTCCTCATGCCTTCCAGTATCCCTAAGTGTATCATTGTCCCCAAGTGTCTCAGTGTCCCCATGTCTTTCAGTGTCCACTAGTGACATGGGGACACTGAGAGACATGAGGGCACAGACACCAGGGGACACTGGGCAAAATGGGGACACTGGGCAACATGGGGACAGAGAGACATGGGGACACTGAGAGACATGGGGCACTGAGACACTGTGATACATAGGGACACTGTGATACTTAGTCTCAGGTGTCCCCCAGTGTCCCCAAATTTCCCAGTGTCCCCAAGTGTCTCAGGGTCCCCATGTCTCACAGTGTCCCCTAGTAACATGGGGACACTGGGAGACAATGGGACACAGGCACTAGAAGACACTGGGAGACATGGGGACACTGGGAGACATGGGGACACTGGGAGACAGAGAGATACTGGGAGACAGAGAGACACTGGGAGCAATCCATCTATATAGCAGAATCAAGCTGTAAGTAGTTTTTAGGTGATTTCACAGAATTTTCTCTTACTCCTTGTGCTTATTATGTCACGCATACATAATTAGTTATGAAAATTAGTAAGGCCTTTATTTTTTCCAAGAAAGTTGTCAACCCTAACTACTCTTCATATACTCTTGATTAAGTATGGAAACTTAAGAGTGATAAATGGAAACAAACCTTGTGTGGACTAGATGAAATTAAATTATTTAAGGTAATGCTGACTTTGGGCTCTCTAACACTGTAGCATATTCCATTGCTTCTACACTCATTACATCCACCTTTTCTCTGTCTCAGACTGTATACCAGGAGCTTCTGCCTGCTAGTAAGAAGGTAAAGAGACATGTAAGTGCTAGGGGACAGTCCTTAGAAAGCATGGAGCAAGCGTATCATTAGATGCCTTTATGCCAAGCTCAGGATGCTGTTGGCCAGGCTAGCATGGATGCATTCATGCCAGACTAGCCTTCCAATTCTTTGGGCAGATACGACTCCTTTTTTGGCATGTTTGTCCCTTTCGGGAGTTCTGGTTACATGACGCACATCAGTGGCCCAGCCTTTTACCCAGCCCATTGACTTCCTGCTTCACTGGACACTGCTGTTAGAGTGTGTGGATTTACTTGAAATATGAAAGCATGAATTAGAGAGACATGATCATATTTTAAGATAATCTGAGTTTTCTTATAGCTGCATCCTGTGAGTTTCCCTCTGGCAACATCTCCACCAAATACATAACGCTTGAGAGGTATGACTGTTTTAGTGTTTTTGGTCCATACGATTCTGTACTTAGGCCCCTCATAATTGTCAGCACCAGGCCCACTGAGCTCTTAATATGGCCCTGGTTGTAGTGGCTCCTTAATGTTGGACTTTTGTAAACTACTCATCATGCTGGACAGCAGCAATTCTAATTCAGTCTGATCACATTCATAGACCTTAAAACTAGACAACAGATCTAATATGAATCTTCCATAACCATTAACACAATTAAATCAGTAAGTGACACAGGAATCTGCTTGGTGCTGTACGCCGTGTGTCTGAGTCTATTGAAGACAATGTGACAGGTGGATACACTAGAACAAATAGTGTCTGACAGAGAAAAACTTGACAATACATTGTTAATCATCTTTAGAAACATTAACATTTTGCAGCATTTAAACATGTTCATCTGATAATATCCCGTACGGCAGGTAAGCGAGAATCATGACCTTCACAATATGTTTCATCCGATCCTGGAACTAAACCGTTGGAGGACAGGTAAGAGAGAGAAATGTCACTTTCGTTAAAATATACCCTGATTCTTGCACAAAATGTCTGAGCGGTGCCCATAATTCACAGCTGCTTCCCAAATCAGCATTTGAAAGGGCAGACAGCTGGAATACCTCCGATAACCAAATTCAAACTGATATTAAATTTAACAGCTTTCAGGGCTGTGCAAAATAATTGTTTTTACAATACAATACAATAAAATTTAACAGGAAAATCATTTTTCAATTGATTCTTATGGTCCAAACCTTTACATAAAATTAGAGATATAAATTAAAACATTCCAAAAGTTGTCAGCCCCATGAAAGTGATTCGATGGGATTGGTTGGATGGGATAGTGACCGCAAATATGCTGTAACATTACTGACTATTAATCTTTACACCACACTATAAAGCTCCCAGCTATGTCCTGAAATGCTGGGACTTGCATAATTTAAATAACGAACATGTACCTTCCACATTCTACAGTTCTGGAAGACGTTTAATAAAAATGAAGTTAAATATGAAGCAGAGCTCAAGTGTACAATGTTAGCAACAAAATGTACAATGAGCACTTTATTAGCATTATAAAAAAATTCTGCCTACGTGCCGTGGCACACTTAAAGCTATGTTCATTCATTCCACGTCATTAGGAAAAATGCATTATGCGCCATAAACTAAAGATTTCAACTGATATTTTGAACTTTATTTTTTCTGTCCTCGTTGAAGATCATAAAACAGGTGGGACAGCGTAAACCTCATGAAATACAGCGAAACCAGTGGTAATGGCAGGAAATCTCTTGTTTTCAGTGGAAAAAATATCTCAAGGATTTTTTAAGAAAAAAGAAATTCAAAAGAAATGCTTAGTTACAGCCTCAGAGGAGGAGCCACGAGGAAAGAAAGTCTGCTTTTCCTCCAACTAGCAATTTGTAACTATTGTCCTCAAGGTACGAACTGCTGCATCACTAAACAAAGTTACTATGTCAAGAAACCAAGAGAATCCTGAAAAAATAGATTGTGAAAGGCACCAATTACCCAAAATCCAGCTTAAACTGTCCGTCTTTGTGCTGCGTCTTCCAAGTAATTTCACAGTTGGGAAATGGAGGCAATTAAAGGGAACATCACTACAAAAGGAAACACGGAATAAATAAATTAAATCACTGCCTGTCAAGACACCAAGTGAGTAACCCGTGAGCAGCTCTTTTTATATACACTGCGCGTTATGTCGTAATCTGTTACAGCCCTTTTTGCAGCCTGACAAAGCAAAATAATTGCATTATACACTATAAATATTGCATGTAATTGCATCACGTATAAACTGCCGTTAAACGTTTTAATCCAGGTACAGCGCTGCAAAAATCTCTATACTAATAATTCAAGCACATTATAACTGGCTCCAGTAAAGCAATGAAAGGGATTTATTAAACACAGATAAAAAACGATTTGACTTTATTACACCTGTTATTCTCATTGTTTTACTTGTACATCCAGAGATCTTTATAAAATACTTAAAAATAATTAGGATTAGGTGAATGATCCAAAGGAAGAGATTCATCTATCGAGCTGTATATAAAATACTATGGATTAAAGGAAGAGATTCATATATCGAGCTGTATATAAAATACTATGGATTAAAGGAAGAGATTCATATATCGAGCTGTATATAAATTACTCTGGATTAAAGGAAGAGATCTGTCTATCGAGCTGTATATAAAATACTCTGGATTAAAGGAAGGGACTTGTGCCTGGAGGGGACTACTGGCTAGTCTCCTGCCTTCCGACTATGGCTCCTGTGCTGATAGCTGTATTTTCCCCTGCAGAAAGGTTTATTTGTGTATTTCTGCAGGGGCGTTCTGGACTTTCAGTATGGTGTATTGCTATCCCAGATAGCTATGCCATGGAGTCTATTTGTGTAACAAAAGACTATGGAAAAGACTTTGGCTCTATGGCGATTGAACTGTATGTATGTGATCTGAGCGCCATTTCGTAATAATGTGCGCTCAGATCTAAGCTATCTGGGGATATGTTGCATGTATTTGTTTTATGTAGTAATTGTAACATTGTGTAATTTTATGTCTTTTTGCTGCCATGTGTTCAATGGAGTTTTGCCTCTGTCCTTGGAGATAATTGGATTACTTCCCAATTATCTCCAGGATAGAAGACACTGTGGAACTGGTTTGGGGCAGAAAAGCCATGCTTCATTGGTCACAAAGGACTTCTGACTAACTTTTGAACTAATGGAAGGATTTGCATGATTTTTGGTTATGTTTATATTTAAAGTATGCTGATTCTGAATATGTATGTTTTATGTGAATATGATGCATATTTTTAAAGTTACAGTATATGTGTAAAAAGTGTATTTTTCCTGCCTGTGATAAATTACATTAACCCATTATGTTCAGTAATTATATCACAGGCAGAGGGGAGCGATTGTATGTTGGTGCTGGGTTTGTTTTACGGTTTTCCTGTAAACGATTGGTTGTACTGTGTCCCACCCTGTGGAATGTCCCCTTGCATGGGACTTGTATAAAAGCCAGTGTGTGGTCATTAAAAGCAGTTCATCTTGAACCTTTCTTGAAGCCTTGGCTCATGTTTGGGGAATTGGAGAACTACACTCTGGGGATTGCTATAATCACTATACTCCCCAGGGTATGATCACTAAGCTC